CGGTTTTCATTTAAAAAAATCATTAGACTCAGAACCACTATTTTTAATCAATGGAGAAAAGTTAAGAAAAGTTCAGGTGGATGACTTGACGGTTAATTCCATTTAGCCTGCAATGAAAGGGTAGATCCTATTCTTTCAAAGCAGTCTGAAGGACACTGGGGCACTCATGATGGCTTCATAATTAATTACTTCATTTTAGTAACATTTGACTATTACTTCACCTTAATAATATTTCAGCTCCTGTGTTTCTTGCTGATTAACCAATAATGCACAGTGTGTTTCAGTGTGGTGGCAAATCTATGCTCCCTTGCAGCGAAGCTTGTAAGTCATGCTTCTTTACAGCAAGTGACATTGCTTTTGGAGACAACATTTCTATCCCAATATTTATGTTCAGGAGGGCAGCAGTAGTTACTTTGAATCACACAACCCCTTTATCACTGGCTCCTCTGGGATGCTTGCAACCCATACTAGATCTTCATGGGACATCTAAATATTGTTTAACATTGAACTATCATTGGTGAAATAATTATCCTTCAGTGGCTTTCAGTGGCTGCTCCTGTTGCTTGGGAGCCGGAGCCAGAGTGCTTATATAACTGCAATCTGACGCCAGTGCTGATCTATGTCTTTTATTCTTATTAATTAACCTAGAATGCTCTTCCCATAAATTATGGAGATCAGGTTTCACTCATATGCTTTGATGGAGTGAGTAAAGTCCATACAGTCACCTTGACTGTGTGAACAAAAAAAAGAGAGTGATTAAAGTTTGCTACGAAGCACGTGACTTGTATTTGAAAAAAGGAGCCCAAACAAAAGATGGAAGTTCTATACACTGTTTACTCAGAAATGAGAAGCCCTACTGAGTCCTGTGGGGTTTACTTTGAGGTAAGTGTGCATTGGGCTGCAGCCCAAACATCCCATGGTTGAAGATCACAACCATAGTGGGCTCCCCATTGGACTTTAGGGCAACTGTCTAATGAATCGATTCCTCTTTGGTTCTTCCTTTGGTTAACTAAGAAATACAGAGCCATGTCTACTGCCTGGATGGGACCAAAACCAATTATTATGTTCTGTGGCTACAGGGTGGTGAAAGGTGCTTTAACTGCTTGCCTATGAGAAGCATTGTCCAGAATTTGACAATATGTAGTAAATGGACTGCAGTTGTCTCTATACATTCTGTAGGCCTGGCTTTGCTGGTGTTGGATTGCAGGCAAAAGAAAATGCTAACCTTTGGATAGTTTTAGGGTTCTACGAATTATTGTAGTGAGCTTTGCATGTATCCATCTAGAGGAATCATCCACAGAGCTGCAACAAGAATGAAAGAACAGGCCTCTTGTATCATGTGGAATTTGGAAGCCTCTTGGAAGACATCTCATCCTAGGTGCACCTGCAACCCAAAGATAATGTATTGCCTATTTGAAAAGCACAAGGAGACTCGTTTAGATTAGGAGTAACAGGCAGACACTGGATGCTGGAGTATATCAGTACATGTAGGTGAGAGCTCCACAACTTTCACTTTTCTTGTGATTTTCTCAAATGAACTTGATTTGGAGCTAATGTTCAAAGTTGCTCTTCAGCCTGTCACTAACCTTCCATTTCCTCATGCTCTCCACATGTCCCACATGCCGCTGTAGTGGCAGCTAATGGCAATTGCAGTATTTTTTCAGATTAACCACAGATGAAGAAATCTTGGTTCACCTGCATTTTTCAATCCAAACTACATGGCTGTCAAAATGAATGGCTTCAGTAGCTTGGGGTAGAACATTTCCCCTGATGTTATTGGTGCTTATTATTGCTTTTTTAAAAGTTTAGTGGCCATGATTCATATCCTCACTGGAAGGCATTTTATCGCTGTTTCTTTCTGACATATCAGATCATTTCATTTTTTATTATCATGCACATATTTTTATTGATCACACAAAAGACTGTGCAACAATGGAACAAAAATAAGCAACCCCTACATATTTTGTGGTGGGGCTGCTTCAGACAGATTCAGAGCTTTCTCAAGCTGAAGTGGAATCTCTCCAAAGCACCCCAAATTGAAATGGGATCCTTTAAAATGCTTTGGATGTTTTGCTTTTTTAAATATGTTGCAGATAGTATGACTGCAAAAACTGGAAAAAGCTTGCTATATAGGGAAAACACTAGGGTGGTGATTATGGGATGGATAGCTCTTTTGTGACAGTCAGGTCTAGCTTTTAATCACAAGGAATGATTTTACCAGAGCTCTACAACCACAGTGTTGGGGGGAAGGGGCACTGAAGTAATGTATCACCTTGTCTTTGTCTGTCCTGTGCACTTTGCTAGTTCTGTTAGTGATGTTTTCTTGGGAAATGGTGGGCATTCAAGTCCTTCTACCTTTGTTCCCCCTCTGCTCCGCTGCCTCCCTTTGTACAAGGTCCTGAAGCAGACTGAAACTCACTCACATCCACCAGACTTATTGGAACCCATAGAAAAGTATAGTTCCTCAAGCTTTTGGGAGATGGCAGCTTTGATGCATCATCATCATAATTGAAATGGCTTGAATTAATAGATTGACTTTTTTTCTAGGAGAACATACAGGCCAAAACATGGTGCAGTGTATATAGATAGATGATAGATAGATAGATAGATAGATATAGATAGATAAAAACAAAACTCCCCCCCATATGTTGTTGTTATTTATAATCTGTGAAATGACTGTGGAAACAGTTGTCCTGGAAAATCAAAGTAATAGGTGAGCTACAAGAGGAAAAGGCAATATGATGATGGCCCATTAGGAATACATTGGTAAGTGTTTTCTCATCTGCAGCACTGTGTGTCAGGCCTCATAAGCACCAATGCAGATAGTACAGGTCCAGCAATGACCGAGGTTAATGAACTAAATCATTAGCAAATTACAAATTTCAGTTGCTGAATTAGGAAGAAAAGACTTCCTAAGTGAGAATTTATTATAGTTCACATTTAGGTCTTTGTTTTAACTACTTCAGGGATGATTAACTTATGGTATGGGCTTTCTCTCTCTCCCCCACCCCTCTGCTTTTCCCATTCATGGACGCACATAAAATTAATCATTAATGGGATTGTATTTATGTGATGGCCATGGCAGAAATGCCAGTAGAAGGTGCTAAGGAGGAAAACACCACCATAATGGATTCTTAATTAGGGTTTTGCAAACTGGAGCTAGATGAAAACAAAGGGCGCTGCAGATCAAGCCCAACCAAATACTACATATTTGAAAATATCACAATATTCCCATTGCCCAGCAGGATTACTTCGTTCCTGAATTTCCTGGTATTGACTATTGACAGAGCTAAAGTGCAAGGACAGGTTACAGGCTGGATATGGGAGCCCCTCCAGTCACTGTTTTTAGAAAGCTACAGGGAACATGATTTGGCTAGTCCTAGGGAGAGTCAGGATATGTGGCTTGCCCATGTCATTAAGAAGCCCTGCCCTACACCTTTCTCCATCCCCCTACAATTAAAGCACAAAATCCAGCTCTTGACAGAAGCTGGACACCATTAGAAATCTAGCAGGCAGAAAGCTCCATTCCAAGGAAATGTCAGACACAATACATGCTGTGTGTAAATTCTGGTCAAAGGAGGGAAAAAGCAGAAAACTATTGGAGACATGCAGCAGCCATCTTGAATTGTGTTCTTGAGTAGGGCACATTCTCCCTTTTGGCCACAAATCTTGCTGCTCCATTCGTGATCATGTGGGATGCAATGGGAAGTAGATATTCAGTTTAACATTACAGTGGTACCTCGGTTTAAGAACAGTCCTGTTTACGAATGATTCAGTTTACGAACTCCGCAAAACCGGAAGTAGTGTTCTGGTTTGCGAACTTTACCTCAGTCTACAAACGGAAACCAAACGGTGGAAAGGCACTGGCGGCGGGAGGCCTCATTAGGGAAAGCGCGCCTCAGTTTAAGAACGGGTTTGGTTTAAGAACGGACTTCAGGAAGAGATTAAGTTCGTAAACCGAGGTACCACTGTACTACAGTGGCTTGGGACGAAGCCCCAGGGACTTATTAAGGAAGGACTGGCTATGAGACAGGGGACATGACCTGGTCTCTGTAACAACTTCCAAGTCAGACCTGGTTCTTTTGTCTAAGCAGTTAATGGGCTCAGTTTACTGCTGCCCCTGTTTTACCTTGCCCACCTTACATTGCCTTATATTTCAGATCCTGCAAATGACACCAATAGTATGTTACTCAGTGGCCCAGCAAACACATCCCTGCAATTATCAGTAGAGGAGCCCGGTGCAGAAAAGTGCGATATTGGAAAGGTTGGTGGGTAGAATTGGCTGCTCCCGTACCTTTACAAGTGGTTTGATAGGCAGAAACATGCTGCTAAAATGTAGAGTGGAATAATATCACTCACTCTCAGTTGCCATAGGAAAATAATCTTTTGGAGTCCGTGCAAATGCTAACAGCCCTCATGCTCAAATATCTTCTGCTAAGACCTCAATGAAACTAAGTGTATTACCATCTAGTCCAGGGAGGGTTTGCACAAAATTTTATTGCAATCATTTTTTTAAAAAAAAATATGAAAAACAGTATATAAATACTCAAATTTTAACTCATGAGCTATTGCTGCAATCTGCTCTGATTGTATATTTTATCTTTATGAACGCTGTTTTTATTGTGTTATGTTATGTGAGCTGGTCTTTGACCTTAATAAATTATCTATCTATCTACTCAAGTTGGATAAATAAAATGAAAACATGTGACCCTGTGGACCATATACTACCTACTTTGCCATAAAAATAAATTGAAAAGGTTCCTGACTACCCTTTGTAGAAACTAAGTGTGTAGAAACTTTGTAGAAACTAAGACTCTGCTCTCTGGGGCTACAACCTTTTTCTTAAGATTTGCAAGCTTTCCATATAGAAAAGAGCCCTGTAACTAACCAAGCATCCGGCCAGTTAATAAACTGAGAATGTGATCTCAAGTCACCAGTCACACGATTGTTATCAAATAGGTTCAAAGTGCCCAAGTTACAACAGTCAAAGCCAAAGCTGGGAAGATGTGATATGCAAAGGTTATCAGATGGCAAACAAAGCTGTGATTTGCAGAGAGGTGAGTTTTCTACATGTGCAGTTGCAATACTGAATTTACTGTTCGTTTCACAAGCTGAAAATAGGGACTTTTTTTTTTTTACAAAAAAAGTCTGCTCTTTGTGAATATTTACATCTCATTTCTGGAATATTTAATGCATGATTGTGCACAGACTGATAGCAACCAGCTCTCTGATGTGTTTAGGAGCAGGATACTGGCTTTCGACTTTTGTTGGATAGACTCTGGATTTGTTTGTTGCTTCACAGATGCCTTCCACCCCTCAGTCTGTTCTCAGTGTAAAAGGAGATGGCATGCTGACTCTGAATAGTGTAGCATGGACTTCCTGTTGCTCTGGATTCAAGCGTATGTTTGACTTGGCAAAAGCTCCTCCTTTACAGATCTAGGAGTAGTTATGCTTGTTTTTCTCTGATGATAAAATGCAAAACAAAAACAAAAACCAACCAAAACAGCCCTTGGGATTTGGTCCCAGGTCTGAGGAACCTGACTCTGAAAGGGAACAGGTGCAGATTATATGAGAGAAGGATGCTAGTCAGTCAACCCCAACTCCCTGCCTGGAGGCTGTTATCATAACATTTTGAGAACTGTCTTCGTGAGCATTCCAGTCAGGGAAGCGTTTATTACTAGCCCTGTTTGGTGGGATGCACGAGGGGAAAGAGCACAACTGACTATGTTCAACCCTCCCCAGGAAAGAAATATGGGCTTGGTGGAAACGGCCTATGTTCATTATGGGAAAATCTAATAGGCATGGAGGTGAGAAATGGAAGATGGAATCCCACATCATGCTTGAGAAGCAGGAGGTAGGGCTGCATTGTTGAACCAGTTAATAAGTTAGATTCAGCATAAGCAGAACTAACCTTTAAAAATCTGTTCCTTGGTGCTATGATTTACTTTACTGTTTTCATAGACTCATTTTGTTCCCACAGCCTGTCTGCAAAGTAATTGTGTTCTTTTATATGTGCACCTATTTTCCTTTCTCAGGAATTTTTGCATCTCTGCATTGCAAAAAACAAAACAACAACCCCAAACCAACTCTTTATTTTTTTAAAAATAATATTTATTAAGAGTTTAAAAGTTACAAAAAAGAGAAAAAAAGTTAAACAAAGCAAAGAAGCAAAAAGAAACAACAAACAAAAAACAACACAATACAATGCAAGACAAATAAAACAAAACAAAGACCATTTTAAACAATTTCAATGTCATATCTTTCATTCGCTTATTTCCATGACTTCCTCACACCTCCCTTTTTTGTATTCCACATCAATTAATTATTTCAGCAATTCCTTTCCATCTTCCTCTGTTTTCTATCCTATAATTATCTTAACACATTCTAACCTTATTTTATTCCCTTTAATGCTCAATTAATCTATTTATACTTAATTCCTTATAACATTTCTGCTAAAGCCATATAACTTCATTCCCACTTTGTTCTAACATTCATTAATTTTGCAATATTTCTATAAATAGTCTTTAAACTTCCAGTCTTCTTCCACCAGCTCTTCTCCCTGGTCTCGGATTCTGCCGATTCTCTCAGCCAGCAAAAAGCAGATGATCCACAACCAAATTTAGAGGTCTGGCAGGGCAAGTCCACCTCCTTCTTTAGCATCCGTTAATATCTTAAATTTTACTCGAGGCTTCCTGCCCTGCCATACAGATCTAAAGACATCCCTCTGCCACCTCCTGAAACAATCCCTCCCATCCAAAACTTGCAATGTTTGAAACAAAAGCAACATCCCCGACCTCACCGCAACCCTCGTCCCCACCACAGCAACTCGGCCCAACAATAGCAACTTCCAATTTAGCCCTATTTCCAAATCCCCCTTGTCTTCAAGCCAACGTCCTTCACAGTTGCCCTTGAATAAATTCACATTTCTGGCGGTCATACTAACCCCCCAATACCTCTCTTTCTCAACCAATGTTAGTCCTATCTCCTCCTGAAACTCTATCAAGGTTTCCTTTTCCTCGGGTAGGGCTCTGATCCTCAATTTCATCTGTTTCTCTTTAAGTTCAGTCATATCAGGTGTCAGCTCGTATTCATCAAATCATCCTTGTATGGATGGGACTCTCTCTCTCTCCAGTTGAATTACTTTAACTTCAGCAGCGAGGGTTTTCTCCTTAACTTCATCCGCAGTTTGCCGTATCAGGATAGATTCCTGTATCAATTTCAGGGTGGTTTCTGTATTGATATTCACATTTTGTCCCAGGTTATTTAAACTTTCTTCCATTAAATCATTTTTAATATTTGCAGCATCCACTTTCATATTTATCACATCCATTTTCTTGTGAAGCTGTTCCAGCGAATCATTTATTTTCACTAGTACAATCACTAAGGCCTCTTCTGGCGACATTCCGTCTTTCGCATCTGCCATAACACTCAATAGATTCAAGGTCAACTCACAGTCTCACGGTTTTTATCTTACAACTGGAAATTTCCCAGCCCAGATCTTATGTAGCCGCCAGTTTCAAGAACTTCCACTAGAGGGAAACAGTTTCTATTTGTATTGATAAGTAATATCCTCTTAAAGCGCAGTTCAAACGACCCCAAACTAATTTCAAATTTCAGTTACTTTCACTGCTGGAAACAGTAAAAACAATGTATCTTCTCTTATGCTAGCTGTCAACACGATCCAAGCACTGTCAATAAACGTCTCACCAAAACGTCGGACCTTCTGGCAGCCCGTTCCCAGGGTCCGAGCGGCGGTGTTTTACCTCTCTTGGTCTCTTCCGCAGGCAAACTCAGTTGACAACTTCCCTCCCCCCTCTTCTCCTGCCTCCAAGGGGGGGGTTCTATTCTTTACTTATGGAAATTTAGTCTTTTACAAAAGGCTTTCCAAGACTTCAGCTTGCAGCCTCCATTGCTTCAGTCTATTTACAAAAGGGGAAGGCGGACTTCCTGTATTGAAACTTCCCCGTTTCGATGCCAAATTAGACTTTTTTTAAAAAAAATCCAATTTTCCCAATTAAGCTCTACTCACGGGTAGTTACTTTAGAGTCAAATTGTCCACAGGAAAAAGTCAGCACTCTCCGACAACAGCTATGCAGCTTCGCTCCGTGGAAGAAGCAGATGATTCGAAGCACCGCACCGCTCACCCCACGTCGCTCCGGATCCCCGAAACCGGGTTTCCCCGCGAGTGGGGGAGGCGCAAAGGGTGCCCGCCGAATCCCACGCTCACAGGCTTCTCCCGCCTGTGATTTTTAACGGGTCTCCGTCTTCGCCTTGGCGGCCAGACCCAGATTTCCATGGAGCTGATTCCTCCCGATCAGAGGAATCCAGCCATCGCCGGAGGCGTCTCCCCGGAAGTCCCCCCAAACAAACTCTTTATATAACTTGCAATATCAAGTGTACCTGAACTGGAAAGCAGAGCTGTGGGAAGGGGAATGTAAAGGTGATTCCTGAGTGGTGGGGCGCAACAGGTGGTTAGGAAAGTACCAAGGAGGGAGTGGGAATCCAGAAGGGCCATTGCTGCAGTGTGCTTTATTAATTAATTCCTTACTGAAAGTATTTTAAAGCCACCTTTTATGGCCAAGCCCTGAACTTAGCTAAACATAGCATGTAAAATCACAATCGTAAATTTCCAACATGTAACAAAATAGTAATAAAATAACACTAAATACCATCCCACCCAGGTTAATATGATCAATCAATCATTTTATTTGTATGTCACCTTTCCAGAGTTAACACCATGTTCTAGGTGGCTTACAACATAAAAAAACAAACCATAATTATAAACATAGCAAAAGTAGTCAAACAAATAAAACATTAACAAGTACACAACCAAATTGAAAATTTCCCACATAAATCATAAGAAGATACAAAAACTTAATATGAATAACATCGACACCTGCACCCTTTAAACAACAGACCCGTCTAAACAAAGTCCCATCACAAGAGTCTGTTCAGCAGCCTCAGCTTTTGTAGCTGGAGTCAGTCAGGGCTCTGCCCTCCCAGGCCAGGTGGGAAAAGGCCTGCAAGGCAGGCAGCAGGTGTTCACAACCAATATTGTTTTTAACACTTGATTGAGAGCCACCCAGAGTGGCTGGGGAAACTCAGCCAGATGGGCGGGGTATAAATAATAAATTATTATATTATGAATTATTATTATTATATATGACCAAAACAAATAAAGCAGCTTAGCACCACATCATACAACAGCAGTTTAACAAACTTTCAAGAAAAGTGACTTGAAGCAAATTGAACACTTATCTAAAGGCTTGTGATGATGGGGCCATCCAACCTTCAACTAGAATAGAGTTCCACAAGCATAGGGGCTACTGCTGAGAAGTCATCTCCAGTGTGCCTGCCAGTCTAATTGATTCCACTGGTAGGTATAGGGCAAATTGTCCCTGCTAGGGTTGTCCTATTTTGAAGAGCAAAAAAGAGGAAGCTATGGCAACTCTCATTTTAAATACCCCCTACTATGTGTAGACTATAAAAGCCATGATATGTTGCTGAGGAGGGCAGGAGAAGAGAAAAGGAAAGCAAATCTTCAACCACCAGTTATGTCTATGTGTCACCCAGAAAGTATAGCCAGAGACATTTTGGCAAATTTAAAAAATCCATGGAGAGAATTTTTACCCCTGAAAAAGAGGTCATGTCCTGGAAAAAGAGGACACATGGCAACCCTGTTTTCTGACATCTCTCGGATATGGTTTCTGAGCCAACAGTCCAAGTGGAAGCAATAGTGCTTAGTAGTTACGTATCTTTGCTGGATGTGTGAGCATCTTTCTCTCCCTCCCTCCTTAAGCACATAGAGACTTGTTTGCAGACCCTGTGAGAGGCACATGTCCAAGTCTGAGCTTTTGAAGTAAGCTATAGCTTGCAGAAAAGAGATGCCTCAGTGTCTGAGTTAAACCCCACCTAACTTCAACTACCTTTTCTTAAGATAAAGACTTTATCTCCCATCCGACATAACAAGGAATAAAGTTTCAATCAAATGGGGAAAAAGAAGAATGACTAATAATACAAAAAGCTAGTTTACACACACATGTTTTGACCTTCTGAGTTAAGTTTCCCTTCCTCCCAAGGGCAGCCCCCTCTCTGTTTTGAAACCAATTTATGAGACAAAGTAAAAAAAAGGGATTGGGGGCAGCTTTGCTTGAAGTTCATGTTGAGAGATTGGATCAGATAGTGAATTGTTAATGCTGTAGTTTAGCATGAACTCAGGCATGCTGCTTGCCAAAAATGCTAAAGTGTACATCTCAAAGACAGGATGTTGCATCTTGTCAGTATAAACAGTCCCCTCCTTGAGAGTTCACAGTCAGGGGAAGTCAGCTGCACCTCCAAAGCTAGCTGGCTCCATGTTAAACTTCTCCATTTTCGATTAATTCCTCTTGCTAAACAGAAAATATGCACAACGATGATCCCCAGAGCACATCAGGTCATCATCAGCTGATTCACATAGATCATTCTTTATCCAGTTTATCCTTACCTGGAAAATTCCTAGTTCATTTTATCCACCCTGAAACAGGCTCTTGGAATGATGAGCACAATCTTCTATGACTGTCAAAGCCGTATTTACAATTAAAGCACACAGCACAAAAAACCACACACAGGATGCTTAAGATTCTCTCACCTTTCCCCCCTTTCAGACCCGAAGCTTTAAAGGCTAATGAGTTAAGAATTGCCCAGGGTGATAATGGGGCTGCTAAATTTCTTTTAATGATTGCTACAGGCTCTAAAAGAGCTAGAAACAAAACCAGAGCAGGCTTCTTGGAAGAGGGTGTGTGTGTATGTGTGTGTTCAGGCACAAAGCACTGGGAAAGAGGAGCCTGGGAGAAAGGGGCTGCAGTTTTCACACTGTTAGGTGTTTAGAGGAAGACAAGCCACAGACACAGATGACTAATTCTGGCTAATTGCAACCTGCATAGGTCAAGGCCTGAAGGCCTCAGTGCCGCTAGGTCAGGGCAACATCCATCACTAGCCTCTTCTGTGAATAGTGGATCATCAGCAAGCCAGGACAATGGGAGGCACAATGGGAGCTTGAGAGGGCTTAACAAGGACAACAAAATTTAATCATTGCATCTCCTTCATACTCACTTCTCTCTTTCTGATTGGCAAATGGCCTGGTGAGAAGTTACTCTGCAGAACACAACAAGGAGTGAGGCCTCACAGCCCTTTTCTCCTCCGTGGGCCAACCCCAGCCTTGTAGACTCTGCATCTTTTCAGCACATCATATGCCGAGTGCTTTTTCATATTTCCAGTCCTGACTTGTTGTGGGGTAAAAAGGTAAAGGGGCCCCTGACCATTAGGTCCAGTCGTGACCGACTCTGGGGTTGCACGCTCATCTCGCTCTATAGGCCAAGGGAGCCGGCGTTTATCCGCAGACAGCTTCCGGGTCATGTGGCCAGCATGAATAAGCCACTTCTGGCGAACCAGAGCAGCGCCGGAAACGCCGTTTACCTTCCCGCAGGAGTGGTACCTATTTATCTACTTGCACTTTGACGTGCTTTCGAACTGCAAGGTTGGCAGGAGCAGGGACCGAGCAACGGGAGCTCACCCTGTCATGGGGATTTGAACCGCTGACCTTCTGATCGGCAAGTCCTAGGCTCTGTGGTTTAACCCACAGCGTAGGGGGAAGGAATCCCACTTGGTACCAGCGAAATAACCTGAAAACATTCTTCCACATGTCAACTTCCATACTCTCTGTTCAATCACAGCAGTGCTGCTGCTAACCAAGGCAGGGGTGGATAGGGGAAAGCGCTGGGTTTTTGGTGGTGGCACCTGCATCTGCGCCCACTGCCAACCTCATGCTCCTCTGCCCTCACTGCTACCCTCCTCCACTCCAGCAGCAGCAGCAGCAACACCACAAAGGACAGCTGGACATATAAAGGGCCCCATTACCTTCAGTAGCTTAGGGCCTCATCAAACCTAAATCTGGCACATCAGGGTTGAGAAGGCTGCTCTCACTCTGAAAGCAGTGGATCTCCAGACATGGGTCTTCCATATATAACCTACTACAAGACCCTTTAAACTGGAGATTCCAGGGACTGGACCTGAGACCTGCAAACCTGGGGCCTTGTCCTCTACATGCCCTCTTCTGCTGAGCTATAGTCCCTTCCAGAACAATGTACTACGCTGAAGAATCACTATTATACTTTTTCAAAGTTTCACTGCTAACTATGGAACTTTCTTTAGTCAAAGGAGAGTACTCAGATAAGCAACGAGCCATTCTTTCCTGGCTCCATCTCACCCAGCAGCTCTGTTGCTTTGATGCTTTATGAACAATGCGCCTCGGTAATGAGAGATGCCTCAAACAGTAGAGTCTGTTTGTTCTCCAGTGCTTGGTTATTAGGAAGTGCAGGTTGTTCTGCTGACACGCTGTTCACAGACATGATCAAAATAGCTGCTGGAGTCCCATGAAAACAGTTGCTAAGGTTGGCAGACTGATACTTGGCAAAGGAAGAGGACACTTCTGGATTAAAGTATCTTTTCTGCACCTGAAATTTAGTCTCCTTGTGTGTGTAGAGTTGTCAATTTATTTGTTTATTTCTCACTTTACTTTATCAATAACCTAAGAAAAGCAAATTCTAACAGATTGCATGAAAATTTATATCCAATTATATCTTTAATAATTACTAAGATGATTTGCCACAGTGTCTTTACCCCTGTACAACTCCACCATATGTGAAAAAGTTGACATCTGCAGGCTGACATCTCCAGCAATCCCCACAGCAGTAAGCATACATTTTTTCTGAAGCTGGTGGGTGTAAAAAAATATTACAGAAATCTTCTTTCAATTGCATATTATAGTTAGGAGCAAACTTGCATATATAACTCTTAGCATTCCTCTTGTTTGGAACAGTTCCAGATCCCTTTCTCATAATTACTAATATTTTGCAGCACTTGCTTCTGTAGTCATTAGAATTGTGCACATCTGAGGCAAAAAAGAGAGAACAAAATAAAAAACCACTCTTTTCCAAGATTTGGTACGCACTAAGTTTTCAAAATTAGCTAACTCTCAAGTGACGTCATTTATTAGTTGAAATATACTCAGAGTTGAGAGTGGATTTCATGCTCTTTATTCAGCTCATAGTGGTGAGGAGGAATGGAAGTTCCCTCACAATATCTGCTTATATACATTATTTACACAATGGGCTGCACGTGATTGGCTAATTCCGGGATTCTCCTGTAGGCCAATCAGGTTGTGGATTCACTTCCACCTGGAGCTGGATTGGGTGGCTCCTGCCGACCAATCATACTGCTGCATTGTTCTAGGACCAATCAGACTGCTGCATTCTGAATCCTATTGTTCTAGGACCAATCAGACTGCTGCATTTTGGATCCTATTCAACTCAGTACATAACATTAGTTAACCTAAGAGCCCTTGCTGGATCAGAAGAAAGACCTCCATCTAGTCCAGCATTTTGTCCCAGACCAGATGCCTATGGGAAGACCACAAGCAAGACCTGAGCACAAGAGTCTTCTTCCATGGTTTCTCCCCAGCAACTAGCATTCAGATGCATACTGTTGAATTATAGCAGTAAACAAGGAAATCCTCAGGAGTACAGAAGGATCATATTTTTGTGTCTGCACAAAAAGAGAGAGAGGGCTACCTACCTTTTCATGTAACTGGCTTTCTTCTCTTCCCCACGTTCTCCACAGGTGGAGAGAGTGCCAAGGCAAAGTGAAGAAAAGAATGATTGCCATGAGTCTGGTAGACATGTGAGCTGGCTATTAGGCATGCAAATGGAAGATGTTGGTTAAGATTCCACAGGGAATGCACACGCCTGCACATTTTATGCATGGACTTCATTTCCCCCAGAAGTTATTTTTCAGAAGATGGCTTCCAGAAGGCTCTCTTTTCTCTTGAAGATCCTCCTAAGAGCTTTTCAAAGGAGAAACCATGAAAAAAAAATATGCATATGTTACTGGCAGCATTCTCCCTCTAAAAAACTGTTGCACCCAGTCTCCAAACTACTTTCTTCTTTTTTGATTTGGGAGATTTTATATATATATAAAATCTTTTTTTTTTTTTTTTAAAGAATTTTGGAGGGAAGAATAAACTTACAGGACATGAACATAAGCACAAATTTTAGACCACAGTTGTGGCATTTAATTTTATGAAATGTGGATGTGATTGTTAGGACAATTGTTGATGCAAATCAGGAAAGCAGATAGCTGTGAAAAATATGAACACAATTTGGATTATAGGGCTGAAATATTCAAACTGATATGAAAAATATAAAAAAGGAGGAGTTTTGCTATGAGCTGCATATAAGTTATATGCTCTGCGCAAAACTGATTTTTCCCATTACTAATTTCTTAACCTGTTCCTCACTAGTGTAGATGGACTAAGGTTCAGATTCTACAGATGAACATTTTGAGATTTCTTGGCCATAAAACACTATAATCAACATGATTTTTTTGTATGTAGTCTAACTTCAGTCAATAGAAGTACACGAGAGTGTGTAATTTGAACCTTTAAAAGATATATACCGGTAGATACCTAGACAAAAATCTCTCTCTATATATATATATTTTAAAATTCTTTTTGCATTTTCAATTTTACATTTTCAATTTCACATAGAATAAATGAAAAAAAGAAGATACACAAACAGATAGAAAAATAAAATCTCCTTTGACTTCTCCCCCCCCCACCCTTTGTGGATCCTCATATAATGATTTCCCCTCTGCATCTCTTCTGTAACTCTGTTCTTATAAGTCCTTTATCAATCCATAGTTCACATTTTTACCAAAAGTTTTCTGTCAGTCCTACCAATGAATGTTAGTTTTTCAAATAGATTATATACTTGTCCCATTCTTTAATAAAATCAGCCCCTTCCTGGCTCCTACTTCTTCCTGTAAGTTTTGCCACCTCGGCATACTTCATCAATTTTATCTGCCACTCTTCCAAACGTAAACCATGTTGTTGGTGTATGTGTTTCACTGAGAACTAGGGAACAGCTTGGGGGGGGGGGGTATAAAAAAAAAGAAAAGAAACTTGAACCTACCTGACTGCCTCATGTGAATTAAAAAAAGTCTCGTTCAAGTCCTTTAAAACTTTCTCTTTCTGGAAAGTATGAAATCCTGAAGTTATTTTTTCTCATTCTCACAGGACTGGATGACGCTTTGAGGACTTGGCAGAATATATATTCCAGGTGACATGCCTTGATTTCATCCCTTCTGTCTTGTCGCTCTGTGTGTGACAAGCTTGGGAGATGGGTTTTTTTCCTGTCTAAGAAAACAAGACAGCATTATTATTTTTAATTTGAAAGCACCAATGATAACTAGATGAACTAACATCAGAAATATTGGTAATTTTGTTCTGAATTTCCACACTTCCCTTTGCGTCACAAAGGGCCTGTTAATTTGCAACTAAACCACCAGTTTTGCTGGAAGAAAAGTACAGGAGGTTTTTAGTTACCATGATCTGGAAAGTAAATTTTCTGTATGTGTATGTTTGGTGGATCTCTTCCTTTTTTTATTTTCCAACCCAACGCTTAAAAAATGAATCTTACCCTGCTCTCCTCGATGCCACTTAAATGAGAACCATGCACAGGCAGCCCACTGAAATTCTTCCAGCAGTTCACCCAGATGTTTCATTTTGAGTTTGAAGAGCTCTTTAGCTTTGGGAGCTGCTAGTGGGGAAACTGCCTGTGGAGTGTTGGTGTCCTGCATTAAACTCTCTGGCCTCTCCTTTAAACTCAGGAAGCTCAAACTGCAGTTTGGTGGTGTGTTGGGGAGTTGCTGCTGAAGTGATGCTGAAAATTATTTGTTTCCTGCATGCTCCTCTACTTTGCCTTCACATGCCATGTTGCTTAGGTTTTATCTTGCACTGAGGCATTCCTTTTGGTCCAGGGCCCTGATAATGACACTATCCTTCAAAGTGGTGCTTGGCCGGGGGGGGGGGGGAGCCTGTTTCCATGGAAACAGTAAGCCTTCCCCAATTGTATAGGAACCTCAGATGGCATGCATTAGCACACTGCCAGCAGCTAGGACTGACCTATAGTCAATCCACTCTGGTCCCAAAGCTATCATTCTCATTGTTGGTGGGGGGTGGAAGGCAAAAAAAAAAGGGGGGGGGACAACCTACCTACCCAAATATCCATTTTGATACAGCGAATGAAGGTCACAGCTGAGGAGTACTTTTAAAACCACTATTTTGGAAGGCAATTTGGTCTACAGATGCTACCAAGCCTATTTTTAAACTTTGTGTACAACACGACACTTCACATTGATAGGGTAGCCACTTCCGCATTGCCAAAAGAAGAGACCGTTTTACATAAAATTTGCATATGCTAATCCATATATAGATACAAATTTAGAAATAATGACTATCATTTAAATAGAAATGGAATACATCTCACAAAGGGGGAAGGCTGTGGACTGGGTGACTTGTGAGCCTGCTCAGTCTGCTTTCCAGACATGCTGGCTGTTGATGGGCAAGTTCAGGGTCCCTACTGCTCTTCCTTCTTATGGTTCTTTCTCTTTAAACTGACCTCGGGCTCAACCCAAGCCTTCAAATACAGGGCAACATACTCAGTCACTTTGAGAACAGGATGCTGGACTAGATAGTCTGATGCAGCAAAGCTCTCTTTATGGACTACCCATGTCTACCTTACATATCATATGACCCTCCATCAGTTTGTGGAGCATATATGAACCTGTGATTACATTTCACAGAATGGTTTGTAAACCAGAAGTGTTCCCCACCATGTTTTGGGCCAGAAGTTCACATTTGGATAGAACAAGACTTCTACATATCTTTTATGCTGTTTCATTCGCTCTTTTGTGCTTCTTTTGGCTTATTGTTATGGCCGGAAATCTATGTCCCCACTGTGGAAGGGTGTATGGATCCAGAATTGGCTTCCACATTCACTTATGGATTCGCTGCTAAAACTGTGTTTATGGAAGACAATCTTACTCGGCTACAAGTGATCGAAGAAGAAGAAGAAGAAGACGTGTGAATAAGGAGATCATAGCCCCATCTCCAGACCTATTGCCTCTCATGGTTGCCATAAGCTGTGCCTTCATTACCCTGTCAGCTGTCCTCTGCTCTGTCCTCTTGCTAGTTGATAGAGCTTCCCCACCTCCTATTTGCATACCCACAACATTCCACCCATCAACAGCGGAGCATCAACTTCCAGTGTATGGCCATCCAGAATGTCCCTCGCTTGTTGAGGTTTGTTAGCAACCATCTGGGAGCAAATGCCCTCCTCAACACATCCAATGAGTATCAGTTGGGAGGGGGTTCAGGGTGGCAGGGCCAGTGGCAACTACTGCACCTTCAAAACTCTGAACTTGCCTTGCAGAATGATTCAGGGCAGGCTGAAAGCCTAAAGCCTCTGCACATGGAAAATAGAAAAGTTGCTGTATGTTGAGTCAGACAATTGTACATTTAGCCCAGCCTTGTCTGCACTGACTGCCAGCAGTTTTCTAGGAATGCAGACAGAGAGTATCTCTCAACCATACCTGGAAGACTGGACCTGGGACCTTTTGCGTGTGTACTACCACCGAGCCACAGCCCTTCCACGAAAATTCAGCATTCAGGGAGTTCTGCTGGGGTGTGTTTATATGTGTAGATATGCAAACATCTGTACTTATGTGCATCCATTCCATCAACGGTGTCTCCGAAAATTCTTACACATCACTTGGGAAGACAGGCAAACTAATATATGTGTACTGGATGAAGCAAGGATCACTAGTGTTGAAGCAATGATTCTTCAACATCCACTTCGTTGAACTGGTCATGTTGTGCGGATGCCTGATTATCGTCTTCCAAACTTAAAAATGGAAAGCGTAATGCTGGTGGTCAACAAAAGAGGTTTAAAGACTGTTCAAGGCAAATCTTTAAAAATATAGTATAAACACCGACAACTGGGAAACACTGGCCTGCGAGCGCTCCAATTGGAGAACAGCTTTTACCAAAGGTGTCATGGACTTTGAAGACACTCAAACTCAGAACACAAGGGAGAAATGTGCTAAGAGGAAGACACACTTGGCAAATCCACACCGTGATCAACTCCCACCCGGGAACCAATGTCCCTACTGTGGAAGAAGTGTGGGTCCAGAACTGGCCCCCACAGTCACTGACGGACTCATTGTTAAAACCGTGTTTATGGAAGACAATCTTACTCGGCTACGAGTGATCGCCAAAGAAGAAGGATATGCACATGTGTGCGTGCAAGCAAGCCACTGAAGCTCCTTTAAAGACTTTACTTGCTGCATTCTCGGCCTGCAATCTCAGTTGCACAAATAGAAAAATCCTGCAAAACTGGAGGGCAGCTATACAATTGATTGCCTAGTGGCTTAGCCATTTGGAATACACTGGCATTTAGCCCATTTGGGAAAATGGTGGCTATTCTCAGGGATGCTTTCACATTGGTTAGAGCAAATCTGGGGGGGGGGGGTACCTGTAGCGTTTTATCATCTCATGGAGTCCTGGCTCCCTGACACCTTATTTTACAGCCAGAAAACGCCAGTGGAAAAAAAATCTCTTCACATTTAACTACTTCAATCATGTTTAAGGCTAGTAGAAGACGGGGGGGGGGGCAGGCGGAGAGGAAGGGTGGGAGGAGATTTTCCTTTAGGACCCCGGCTTGCTCAGAAGTGCAGTGCATTTATCTTTGTTTGTGAAAAGTAGTAGTATTTTAAAAGGCATTAAGCATGAAGTGATTAATCAAATGGCAAGAATAGGCCTTTAGGGTGCTCTGGAGAGTCTGGAGAAACACAATTGAGAAATGATGCTTTCTGCTCTATTGAAATGCAAATGCAGCCCAGCACAGCCCTCTCAGAAAGTGTGGGGTTGGGGGCGCTTCATGTTATCAGTTCCTGAGAATACCTGCTGTATGCATCATGTCTATTTACTTTGCTTGCATAAGCCCTGGCAAGGTAGCGCAAGTGGATTTACACCTGAGCAAAGGTACCATAATTAGCAGAGAAATGCCCAATGAGAAACAAGGGACACTCCAGAACAACCAACATATTGGTTGTCTTTTTCTCATTCAGAGATCTTTTGCTTTTTATGTTTCTGTCTTTATTAGCCCAGTTTGCCACTTCTAAAGCAATGAAATCATTTTTTTTTCCAGATACGAGCCTAGCAACTGTTAAGAGCCCAGAGTCAAAATTATTTCATCTTGTTGATGATATTAAAAAGAATAAAAAAGGGGGGAGCGGGGAAGGACCTTTTTATCCTTTTGTTGCCATCTGCGCACAGTTCAATTACTTTGATTCTCAAAGGTCCTGAATGCCACTGTAAGATCTTGGATAAATTGCTGCAGAACTTGGTGTGGGTGTGTTGTTGTCAGAATAAGATAATATTCATGAGATTATTCCTCAAGGAGGAGGAAATAGGTTTGTTCTGTGAGTCCTCACAAAATGGATAATCTAAGTAGAC